GGTTCAGAACTGCCCCAAAACCATCCAGAAATCCCTTAAAATCCCCAGAAATGGCTCAGAACCGCCCCAAAACCACCCAAAAATGGCTCAGAACCGGCCCAAAACCACCCAGAAATCCCTTAAAAAACCCCAGAAATGGTTCAGAACCGTCCCAAAACCACCCAAAAATGGCTCAGAACAAGCGCCCCCCGAACCGCACCAAAAACGCGGCAAAACGCCCCAAAAACGCTCTGAAAAGAGCCCCAAAATGGTGTAAAAGCACCCCAAAATGTACCTAAAAAAAGCCACAAACCAGCTCGTGGGTGTTTTCCACCCACGCGTTTAATTCGTGTCTAAAACCGCCCCCAAAAATGGAAACAGCGCTCCTAAAAAAAATTAAAAATAACAAAAATGTCTCGAAACGCCCCAAAATTGCTCTCAGAGGAGGCTCAAAACCGAAATCCCACAAAAATCCCGCCTGAGACGTTCCCGAGAGCCAAAAAGCTTCCCAAAGATCCCAGCAGACATCCCAAAAAATCTCTGAAAACCTTTCCCAAAACAGCCCTGAAAGCAGCGTGGAACAGCCCCAAAAAGCACCAAAACCCCCCCAAAAACACCCCGAGAACGCCTCAAAACGCCCAAAATGCCCCAAAACCCAAACCCCCTCTGCGGGGGCTCCGATCTGCCCCCGTTTTAGGGGATGCTGAGGGGTCCTGTTTGTAAAAAAACGAGGATTCCCCCACCCCAATTTGACCAAATTCGTGGTTCCCCCATAAATTTGGGGCGTCCCCCTCCCCAATTTACGGATTTTGACCTCCCCATCCCCGTTTGTGTCCCACCAAATCTTCCCCTCCCTCCCCAAAAACCGCAGTTAGGACCTCCCCGCTCCCAATTACAGAAAATTCGGGGCTCCCCAAATTCGGGATAAATTTGGGACCCACCCCCCACCCCATTTCCCAAACTCTCCAAACAGGGCTCCCCCTCCGTCCCCAAAAACCCAAAAAAACCCCAAATTTGGGGCTCCCCTCCAGCACCGCGGCGGTGGGGAGCGGCGCCCGGAGCCCAGCCCCGTTTTCCCGTGTTTTTCCCCCAAAACCCGCGCAGGTTTCGCTCCAAGTACCACCCGGACGAGGCGGGGAAGCGGCAGCAGGAGGCTCAGGCGGCGCTGCGGAACCGCCTGAGCGTCTTCCTCTACCTGTGGGAGCACGGCTGGTTCGACAACCTGCTGCTGGACATCGAGCGCGCGCCGCAGATCGTCAAAACGCTGGACGCAGGTACGGCACGGCGCCCCGGAATGCTCGAAAACCTGGGGGCAGGTACCCCAAAATCATCAAAACCTCCCGAAAACCTGGGGGCAGGTAGCACAGAATCATCAAAAACCTGGAGGCAGGTACCCCAAGTTCCCCAAAATCATCAAAAACCTGGGGCAGGTAGCACAGAATCATCAAAACCTGGCGGCAGGTACCCCAGGTTCCCCAAAATCATCAAAACCTGGCGGCAGGTACCCCAGGTTCCCCAAAATCATCAAAAACCTGGGGGCAGGTACCCCAAAGTACCCCAAAATCATCAAAAACCTGGGTGCAGGTAGCACAGAATCATCAAAAACCTGGGGGCAGGTACCCCAAAATCATCAAAACCTCCCGAAATCCTCGAAAACCTGGGGGCAGGTACCCCAAAATCATCAAAAACCTGGGGGCAGGTACCCCAAAATCCTCGAAAACCTGGGGGCAGGTACCCCAAGTTCCCCAAAATCATCAAAAACCTGGGGGCAGGTAGCGCAGAATCATCAAAAACCTGGGGGCAGGTACCACAGAATCATCAAAACCTGGCGGCAGGTACCCCAAAATCATCGAAAGCTCCCGAAATCCTCGAAAACCTGGGGGTAGGTACACCAGAATCCTCAAAAACTTGGAGGCAGGTACCCC